CAAGGATTCTGAGTTAGTCTGAGATTCCTAGACACATACAGTATGTAATTTTTAAAATTCCTCACAACCAATGCTCTAAATTATAGTGGAGGCAGTGGAAAGGAAGTTATTTTGATTTCGCTTTCTTTTCTACCACAAAAGCATATAAATGCAAATAATTCCCCCTCCCCACTACAAAACAGCTTTCTCTGAACATTTCTCCTTATTGTAGCTATTAGCCCTGGTATCTAGAGCCCCAGTCTGTCTTTGTACTTTCTCTGGTGAAATGCAAAGTTCTGGCTTTTCTGCTTTTGCTTAAAGTGAAGTAAAAGCTCAGGAAGCTTCTTGAAGCAGCTCTTGGAAATGCTAGATAAGTAAACAAAAACAGGTCTGTAGGGTGGAAAAGAACTTTGTACTGAATAGCAATTGGAGGAGTGTGGGAGGGTTTTCTCCGTTGCTTTTACTTTTTTTCAATATTACTTTACCCTGAGCAAAAAATAATCCACTGTGTTCTGGCTGCTGCTGACGTCTCCATCTGACAGCTGCTTCTGAGCATCCAACATAGGGACAACCCTGCACGTCACTAGAGAAGAAGCCCCTAGTTTCCAGGCAGATAAAGTGACACATAGGAATGGGAGGGGAGTCATTTAATAGATTAGGGGCTGGCTGAGCTGGGACCAGAATCCAGGTGGCTTGGCTGCTAGCCTAGCTGACCACACTGCTACCCACACAGCCTGGGCTGACCAGAGACAAGCAGCCCATTGAGCAATTGCACAAACAACAATGAGTGATGGATGGTCAGAACAAGGAACAGGCACAAAGCAACTACAACCCCATCACTTCCTGGCCCCTAAATTTCCAGGCAAGCCTATAAAGTGTTGTTACTTAAATATCTTTGACCAGCAACTTGGCCCAGATTTCAAATCTGGAGACTTTCTTGGTCACTGCCAAAAGAAAAGGTCTGTCTTATACTGAGAGTGGAGAGTGCCTGTGAACTCCGTAGCTAATCCTAATGAGTCTGTGGCAATGGTGTCAGGGCTAGAAAGATGTAATTAACAGATGGGCATAACCGGGTTCTGGAGGACTGTGGTAAAATGAGGCAGTTTTCAGATTTTTGAGGCTCCTCTGTGGCTCTGCCCTCCCACCGCAGATGTAGCTAGCAAGGGGCAGTGTGAACGATTTAAAGACCTAATCTACTAAGTTAGAATCAACTTAGCTGACCAAATTTCATCCTGCTCTCCCCCTCAATTTGCCACTAAACAGTAGCCAAAATTTGTGGCCTGAATACTTGAAGCCCAGGCTGCATGGCTGTACTTGTTACCCTGTGTTGTGGGTTCTGGGGATGCCACACTTAAGACATACTGGCCCCAGGCCCAGCCCCTAAATCTTCAACTGAAAACCCAGGGGGATTCCTAAAAAATACAGCTGTCTAGGAAGTTTCCTGTTTCAGGGGTCAGATACCTAGTTTGAGTTGGATAACTAAGGTGTCTATACTATACCCCTCCCCTTTAGAAACTGCGGACTTCAGGAAGTAATAAGGGGAAAGAAAAGTAGATTGTAATACTTGTTTTTATATAGGCCTAATGGGCACAATTTAGATAATAGATATTATTTTGAATATGCAGATCAGGTATCACAATGTTGGGAATCTGAATTAAAATTTCAGATTTCTTTGGTTAATGTAGAGTTGAGGCTAGCCCTCTTTTGTCATAAAGAGGTACTTATTGAATGGCTTTTCTTACTTGAAACAGTCTACATTCACCTCATATTTATTCATTCATTCAACAAATAGGGAAAGTCTGTGATGTGGCAGAGATGGCTTATTTATGTTCTCATATTCATAGCTCATTGTAATTCACAGCACATATGTGAGTTCTGCCTTATATAATATAGTTTTATGTATTTTACTAAATTGTAAAATCTTTAATGTCCTTGATTATCTTGTTGATTTTTTACTTCTAGTATTATTGAACACAGTGCCGTAGACATAGTAGGGACTCAATAAATACTTGAATTGCTAAGTGGCAAATGGTCATAAAAGATATTACCAAAGTGCTACACAACTTTTTTTGATCGTGTTAACAGTCTAAAAGCAGATGTCACTAGGTATCGTTGTTATGCAAGTAAATATAAGCGTTTATAGAGAAGGATATGTTCAAGAGTGAAGGAACAAGGGAAATGCATAACTGGGTACAGACTGCTCTGGAAGAAGTGTTGTTAATTTTCCTCTGGTCAGTCCAGACTGTTTAGAGTTACTACAATTTCAGTCGTCTAAAGTATTTTCACCCCTCTCACCTTTCTAGAACTACCCCACCCCTTTTTGCCTGTTCTCAAGGGCTGTTGCCAATTGACTCTACCCCCAAATTCTCAGGAGTCCGCGCTGTACTCCTCCAGCTCTAATTCAAGAGCGCTCCAAATCTGCGGGCTGCAGTAGCGCGGGCCAGGAACACACGGGGTCACGCGCGGGGCATGCGCCAAACTGGGAGCCGCTTCGGGAGCGGCGCTGGAGGCGGGGCCGCTACGGGGCGGGGCGGGAGGAGGCCTGGGGGCGGCTTGGGTGTCACCACCAACTCGCTCCGGCCGGAAACTGGCGCTTGTTTCCGGCCGGCCGGCCGAAAGCCACTGATCCTGGACCAGCCGCCGTAGTCGGAGTGGCAACCGGGTGTGGAACGGGCAAAAAGCCACTGGGGGAGGCCAGTCAAGATCAGTCCCGTCCGGCTTCAGCTCTAGATCCTGTGCGGAGCAACATCTTTGGTCACAGTCACCGCCACCACCTCCGCCTCCATCGTCGTCGGGGGAGGGACCGGCCAGACCCCGGGGTCACTGCCGAGGAATGAGGAGAGACGGCCGGGCCCCGCGCTCCGCCCCGGCCTAGGGCCTTGCCCCAGGAGCCGCGAGGGTAACGGAGTCCCCCTTCCTGACCACCTCCCCCGTTTGCTCCAGCCCCTCTCGTTTCTTCAGACTTTCGAACTCTGCACCCCTAACCTCCACTGTCCCCCGTCTTCTTTCTGGTTATATTTCAACCGAAGCTGTCTCCCCTCGGTACTCCCTTCTCTCCCCAACTGCTTCTTGCTTCGTCCCTACCGCCTCCCTTTACTCCTCCCTTCGCCGCGTCCCTCGCCTCTCGCAGGGTTTCTGGCCTCCCTCCCAACCTGCGTTGGGCAGTTGGAACAGTCACCCGTAGTCAGCAAGGCTTTACGAGAGGGATGGTGGAGTTTCAGGGTGGCCAAGGTGCAGACCACTATCCTCATAATAGGATTAAGTTCATTTAAAAGTCTCAGTATCAAAGTAATACAAGCTTATTCTCTGTTGATAGCCAAACTGAGGTGCTTCCAGTAATGGAGGAAGGGAGAGAAAAAGGTGTGTGTGTGTGGGAGAGAGAGTTAAGAGTTTGAGAGAGATTCTAGGAAGTTTAGAAAAAAGAAAAGTTGCCATGAGCCGATGGAAACTTTAGAAGCTGATGATGAGTAAGCCGGGGGCTGTGTGATCTCAGTCTTCTCATAATTACTAGGTTAACGGTGTGGCTCCGGTCGGGATGGAATGGGATTTGTTTACTGGGCAGGCATATTTTTAGCTTGTCGGCTCAAAAGGACCAGCGCTGTCTCTCTCCCCCACTCCCCTCAGTCGCGGTAGTTTGTCTGACCTAGGTGGCTTCCCTGGGCACAATAACAACGTAAAAATTAAAAAAATTCAAGTTAAAAGAAGCTGACTGGTGGAATTTTACTGTGAGTTTACCCGCAAACTTTGAGGGAGTTTTGTTTTCATGAATGCAAAGCCAAGAATTAGCAGGACTTTAATTTTTATTTTCCTTTTCTTTTTAAAAGTACTACATAAACTGCCTTATTTAGAGGCTGAAAAATTTTCAGGGTTTCTAGTATTTAGATCTTCGAGGAGGCCGGATCCTTTTGTCTTTCAGAACCTATTTCAAAGGTGGAGGAGGACAGAGTAGAGAGAGGAGGTGGTGGTAAGACCAGTCCAAAAGGGTAGTGCTAATCCCTAAATAATTTAAAACCATTCTCCATACTATATAACTTTTAAAAAGCAAGTAGAAAATTTCCTACCTAACAGATGAGATTGCATTCTTTGTGGTAAGGAGAGGACTGCAGAGACTTACGCTGGGCGGCTAGGGAGAAACGGACTTGGAGTCAAAACAGTTGATGCTAATAACTTACCAATTGAGTACATTATAGGCAAACAACAAAGAATTAATTACACTCTATAATTATTGTCTTCATTGTTTTTCAAGCAGTTCTTTTAAAGTTTAGTAACTAAACTGCTGTAACCTGAACAGAAAGGTAAAATAAATGAAATTAGTGTTGCTCATCTGTGGGCTAAATACCAGATATTTATATTTATAATATAATTATATATTTATAAATTATAATATGTAATATATATTTATAAATTGTTCTAATTTCCACTAGTGACCTGACCTAGCATGCCTCAGAGCACCTCCCTGATGAAGTGGCCAGTTACTGTGTACATAGAGATTGCAAATGAATATAAATACTAGCTAATGCTAGGAATAATTGAGAAGGTAAATATGCTGAAAACATACATTCCAAAACCAAAATAGATTTTTTTCGATTTTTCCCCCCTGTTTTGGAGTATCAGCACCTTCTGTCAATAACTGTCCATTAACATGAATAATTTAGAATTGAACAGATATCAGCTTTGGACATTATGAATTCAAACAGGAAGGAAAGATGGAAGATAGTTTCCAAACTGTTACTAATTTTTTGTTTCTGATGTTGCCTGATTTGACTTATTTCTTTCAGTTAATGCTAAAGACTCCCTCAAAAAAAAAAAAAAGTAAAACTTTGTTAAAGAAAGGGCTGTCTGCTGATTTGTTTAAAGCAGGATGACTAGTAATGAATGAATGCTGACTGTTAGTTGAACTTTGGTGGCTTTATGTCACCAACAACTTAAAGGTTTTCCTAAAGCTTTATTTACTTAATCTTTTTTTTTCCTATTGAAAGAAATGTTTATTTTGGAGACCAAAATCTAATTTTTAAAAATCCCATATGACCTCTGAGAACCTGTTCACTATTACTAATTGCTTTGATCTGTGTGAGTTGGTTGGTGCCAGTATTAGTGATGATATCTGAGTGAACTCTATTTATATCTGTACTTAGCAACTTCCCCTAGTTGAATTGCATATTTTATTCCAGTGGGTGGGGATTGAAGGATTGAATAAATCTAGGAATAAGTGTAGAGCAGCCCAGTAGTCCACCACTATTCTCAGTTCTCAGAAAACTTTGTTTGGAATTTTAAGATTCAATGTATGTAAACAAGTGAATTACCATGGAATAATTCAGCATTAAAAATAAGTTTCGGATTGTTAAGAGGGCACTAAGTGCCATTTGTCAAAATTTTTGGCACTCTGGAATATCTCAAACATGCTAAGGATGCTGGTAGAGGGCATTACTCTGTGTGTGTGTGAGTGTGAGTGTGAGTGTGAGAGTGCCCTTCTCCTTGCCCCAAACTCATCCCACCAAACAATGCTTTGAAATGTGACCTCGGCAGTATCTTTCCAATGGGAACTTAGGAGCTGTGGAATAACAAGTAGACTATGGAATCTTCTCAGTATTCCCTGATAAAATAAAAATTTGTGTTATTGGAAGGTAGATGTAGGGCAATTTTCTCACAAATGCCTGAATTCAGTTGGCTTTTTAAAGTGATAGAAGGGAGTTTTTTTTTTTTTTTAATAAGAAATCCTTGAATAATGAATGAATACGCCTATGGATAAAGCAGGTTCCAAGCTCCAGTGAGTGGCTTTAGGGAGATATAAAAGATATAAAGTCAGGTGTCCTTGCCCTTGGGGAGGGAGGTGGTTTATAAATGGGAAAACAAACTATTATTATAACCTTTAACATTTAGGAAAGAGTATATAAACAAAACCAAGTTTAATGTGCTACAATTAATGTATGTAAGGGCTGAGAAAACGAAGTAACAAAGTAGGAATCAATGAAATAAATTAGAGAAGATTAATAAATCAGATTTTGAAGTGGACTTGTGAGACTATGGGTTAGTCAGAGGTATGGGCTCTGTAGTTAGATCTTGATTCAGATATAGGTGTGACTTTTTTTTTACGATGTGACCTTGGATGAATTACGTTTCTTATCCATGAGTAAATGGTTATTGTGTTGGGAATAAAGGAAGAGAAAGGATCTTCCAAACAGAAAGTATAGAATGTGCAGTCTGCAGTGATGGTATGAATGACTGAGTTGTGGAGGTGGGGAATAAATGAGAGTGACTGGATAGAATATTGGTTAGTCAAGTCATGGACAGAGCAAGCAAGAGAGTGGAGGGGCCTCAGAGGCCAGACTTTGTTGGATGTTGATAGAAGGGTCAATAGGCTCATTGTAGGTCTTTGAACAAAGGATGGATTTAGTGAGAAGTATTGAGCCCTTTGGTGCAGGAACTCAGGGATGAGGAATCAGGCAGGCACCAGTACATTTGTGACTCTTCTGTACCATCCTGGCCCAAAGGGATGTATCCAGGAGACTTAAGATTCCCTGTAGAAGATTTTATATTTACACATCTTACTATGCTGAGCTTTGCTTATGCCTATCTCGTAGTTCACCAACCTGTGTGGAAGTCTCAAGACTATGGCTGGAGTCTCCTCAAGAGCTTATGGTAAGGACAGTATTATGTTTCAAGTACATTTAACCCTTAGTCATCTCTGCTAATGTAGGGAGCACTGTCCTAAGTAATTTGGAGCTTGACAAAGAAATTTCTTAGTTTATTTTTTCAGCTAGAGATGGGGTCTTGCTCCATTGCCTAGGGTGCAGTCAACTGAAGCTCATGGCAGCCTTGATCTGGCTTCTCAAATAATTGAGACCCCAGATGCATGCCATCATGCCTAGCTAACTTACTTTTATTTTACTTTTTAGACTTCATCTCTAAAAAATTAAATAGTTATGTTGCCCCACTGGTCTTAAATTCTTGGCCTCAAGTGATTCTCAAAAATGCATTATTTTTTAAATCAAATTTATGTTCATTATTGGTATCATACTGATATTGAAATAAATTTGCATTTCTAAGCCTGTATTTTTTTTTACTCATTTCTTAATAATTTTGAAATGTACCATTGCATCATGCACATTAGGTGAGGTCTCCCCAAATACTCTCCCTCTTCCCATATCCCCCTCCCACCTCCCCAGCCCCAAGCCTGTATTACCTGATGATAAGGAGAGTATATTGATGGGGGAAGAACAATTTTGGATTAAGGATTTGCCCTCAGAAATTCATAAAATGAAAAACTTGTTTGTAGATAATCAGGGCTAAACTATATTATGTTAATACAGACCAGTTTCTTTTCAAAGTCTGTTTGGGTCCAATGCGACCTCTTTGTCTTATCCAAGAGATGACTGGTAGATGATGCTTATGTTTCAGCCAGAATGAGTCTTCACTCATAATATCTGGAGGACTCCCACTGCATTGTGCTATATTGTTGAAGATCAAGCTGGCTTTGATCTTGGGCTTTGTAGAGGCTTTTCCAGATATCAGCTTCACTGACAAATTTATTCGATTTTTCCTGTTGAGGGAAACTTTTTTGAAAATGTGGCCAATTGGCTTGGCGCCTGTGGCTCAAGCAGCTAAGGCGCCAGCCACATACGCCTGAGCTGGTGGGTTCGAATTCAGCCTGGGCCCGCCAAACAGCGATGGCTGCAACAACAAAAGAAACAGCTGGGTGTTGTGGCAGGTGCCTATAGTTCCAGCTACTTGGGAGGCAGAGGCAGGAGAATCGCTTGAGTCCAGGAGTTGGAGGTTGCTGTGAGCTGTGATGCCAGGGCACTGCTCTACCCAGGGCAACAACTTGAGATTCTGTCTCAAAAAAAAAAAAAAAAAGAAAAGAAAAGAAAATATGGCCAATTAAAAAAAACAAAAGGAATGGGCAGAAATGTCCACATTTAAGAAGTAAACAAAACCACATACTGTTCTTTCACCTTTTTTCTTTCAGTTGACTTGCTTTCCTTTATTCCTGCCACCCTCCCCTACCTTCTTATAATCATGACCACACTGTGTGTTTGTGATGTCATGAGCACAGGGTTACTTTTAACTTCTTGAGTCAGGAGACTGTACTATTTCTGAGCTGGAAATGAGAGGTAGAAAAGTCAAGAAATTTATTTCATACTAGAGAGGGATTATTTTCAACTGTGTTCTTTAGGATTATGTCTTATCCTTTTATTTCCTCTAAGAAATTTTTTTCAGACAGGAGAAATTACTAAACTATTATTTTTAGTGAACTGCTATGAGTTTAATTCTCTGTTAGGTGTTCTGGAAGATTAGGAAAAATGACAACCTCATGTCCTTCAAGGGTTTACAGTCCAGTTGGGAGTAAAGAGAAAAGGAAAGAATGAATGAACACTTACTAAGTGAATGAACACTGATCGACCCCCTATTAATATGCCAGGCAAAATTTTAAAACGTGCAAGTATATTACTAATTGCATTGTACAGGCCTTATACCATACGTATTTTGGGAGAATACGCAGGCAGTTATAAGCATTGTCTTGGAGAAATTGTAACTTATTTCAGATCTTAAAAATAAAAGCATATTAGGTATAAGAGATGAAGAGAATAAGAAAAGTCCATTCATTTTGGAGATGAAAAAGCCTGGGAAAGGACATACTGAGGATGTTCTTGGGACAGTGATGAGACTGACCTAAGTAGCAATGGCTAGTAGTGAAATGAAGGTAGGTGGGCTGATTTGGAGCTGTATTTATATGGGCTCTTACAAGTTTATATTTTAAATGATAGAAAATAGGGAACCAGTGAAGATTTTTGAATAGGATAGCAAAATGGTGACTGTAAGACACAGGTTAACTTGGAAGGAGGGGAGGTTGACACCTGGGGTATTGAGATCCAAGAGTTGTGAAGGACAAATTGAAATTAGGACTAGATGTGGGATATGAAAATGGGTGATGACAGCTGGGCGCTGTGGCTTACACCTGTAATCCCAGCACTCTGGGAATCTGAGGCAGGTGGGTCACTTGAGCTCAGGAGTTCAAGACCAGCCTGAGCAAGAGTGAGACCTGTCTCTTAAAAGAAAAAAACAAAAAAGGGTGATGAGTCAAGTATGACTATGGCATACTAAGCCTGGGTGTCTGAGACATTGACTAGGATAATGAAGTTAGTAGGAAAGTTTCCTCACTTTTTAGGGGAATATGATGAGTTAAGGTTGGGATGTGTTGTTGGATTTAAAGTGGCAATGAAGTATCCAAATGAGAGCTCTTCTGTTTTGTTTTGTTTTAGACAGAGTCTTATTTTGTATCTCTCAGTAGAGTGCCATGGTGTCATAATTCACAAAAACCTCAAACCCCTGGGCTCAAGCGATTCTCTTGCCTTATCCTCCCGAGTAGCTGGGACTACAGGCACCTGCCACAATGCCCGACTATTTTTAGAGGGGAGGTTTTACTGTGTCTCAGGCTGGTCTCGAATTTGTGAGCTCAGGCAATCCACCACCTTGGGAGAACTCCTAACTGTGAGAGTTAGGAGCCTAAAGCTGGGGTAAAGGTGGGTTTAGTAAGTTTGGAAATGTGGTTTTGCAGTTTGTTAGCACAGATGTGTTCGTCAGGTGTAGCCAAGAGAATAATTTCTCTGAGGACTAGAGTTTAGGGAAAGAGCAAAAGGGTAAAGAAAGTGGTACTAATGACCCTGAACACTGGCATTCCCTACTTTCCAGGTCATCTTAGTTGGTTCTTCGTTCTTCTTTCCTGTTTTCTGTTCTTCTGCTCCCTACTCTGTCATATCTGTTGAATGTCTCCTATATCATAAGTGCTATCCTAGGCGCTGAGGACATGGAGATAAGTCAGACAAGGTGTCTCCCACGAGCTTCTGGGTCAAGTCGGAGGAGACAGGTGTGTGGGTATGAAGCATGATAGATGCTACGATAGTACTATGTAGGGGGAGAGTGGGAGCCCAAAGGTCAGTTCTGCCTTGGGCATGCAGAGGTTGGAGTGAGCCTCTCTGAGGATATAACATTTGAGCTGAGTCTTGAAAGATGAATTAAGGATATACCCACAGATGACAGAGAGAAGTACATTCCAGTCTGAGAAAACACCATGAACAAAAGCTGAAAGGAATGGAACACCCAGACTTCTTCCAGTAATTTTTAAGTAATTATTATGGCTGGAGAACAAAGTTGGAGGGCAAGGATGAGGTTAGAGAAGTAGGCAAGCCTGGATCACAGCTTTGTCTTGTTCTGCAATAAATGATGAACTATTTAAGGCTTTTAAGCATTGGGTAATAAAGTAAGTTCACATCCTAGAAAGGTTATTTATGTCAGTGATGTGTAGGGTGAATTGAAGAGGGACGAAGCAGAAGGCCTTTTGATAACTTCATTATGCTTAACCATAACACATTTGTTGAGAGTGGTCCTGTTTATAGAATCATGGAATCAGAGAACTGGACATTATGTTTTCTTAGTCTTCCCCGTTCGTTTTCAAGTGGAATACTTAGGTTTTACTTGGGATCACAGAAGTGGTTTGGTGATAGCTTGATCTAGTATCTAGTCTTCAGTGGCTAGTATGTGGTAGGTAAATATGAGTTTACCTCTCTGTTCTCTCCCAAGTCCCATTCCAGTGTTCGTTTTGCTCTGCCACATCACGTTGTAGTGGAAAACAGAGGGAATTAATGTTGTTCCATTCTACTGTGATTTTTGCCAGTCCAGAACGAAGTGGTATTTTCCTAGGTCTGTTTGAGGAAGACCTGCCCTGAGAGTACTACTTGGAAGAGGGATTTTTGACCTGGGGAAGTTGGGTACCCTGGAGTGGGATGAGTAGGTGTTTGGATTCTTTAGCTGTAATGACTCAGATGTAGAAGAATGTCAAGGTATTTGTTGTACTGTGTATATTTATCTCACTTGCTAAGTTTCCTTTAAGTTATTTTCTTTTTTTTAATTTGGGACAGAGTCTCACTATGCTGCCCTTGGTAGAATGCTGTGGCATCACAGCTCACAGCAACCTCAAACTCTTGGGCTTAAGAGATTCTCCTGCCTCAGCCTCCCAAGTAGCTGGTACCACAGGCACCAGCCACAACACCTGGTTATCTTTTTGTTGCAGTTGTCATTGTTGTCTGGCTGGCCCAGCCCGGGTTCGAACCTGCCGGTCTAGGTGTATGTGGCTGACGCAGTAACCACTGTGCTATGGGTGCCAAGCCGAGTTATTTTCTTTTAAACTTAGTTTTAGGTTGCACCAATGAAACTTGTTAAAAGAAATAAGCTATGATAAATTGGGCACTGATAAAAAAATATTTATCTAAAAAAACAAGAATCATCTTTATACTCAAGATTCTAAATTTTTCTTCCCTGTACTTTCAATTTTATTTGATTTTTGTGTAGGGCAGTTGTTTGTTTTTAATGGGCTAAATGAAAGTTTGGATTTTGTCCTGTAGTCATTTTTGCTGGAGGAGAACAGAAGAACAGGATAGAGGGTATCTTCAAAAGCCTTAGATTTCCCTGGGGAAGTTGGGAGTCAAGGGAGTGTGGAAGAATGGATACCTTCTGCTGATAGGCATTTCTCAAAACTTGACTGAGTTGTGATTTTTTAATTATTTTTTCTGGGTTTTGTCAACATCTTCTCCAGAGAAGGGCTTTTGGTTTGGAAGCTGTCCACTTTAACAGAGCTGCCAATT